CCACCCACCTCGGCCTCCCAAAGTGCTGGGATTAGAGGCTTGAGCCACCGCACCAGGCCTGAATTTTTAATTAAAAAAGATCTTCCCACAAAGAAGTACCAGGTTTCTACAGAGTGAAATCTCCCAAACATTTAAGGAAGAAATAAATAAATAAATATTATATATATATATATATATATATATATATATATATATATATATATTTTTTTTTTTTTTTTTTTTTTTTTTTGAGACGGAGTTTCGCTCTTGTTACCCAGGCTGGAGTGCAATGGCGCGATCTCGGCTCACCGCAACCTCCGCCTCCTGGGTTCAGGCAATTCTCCTGCCTCAGCCTCCTGAGTAGCTGGGATTACAGGCACCCGCCACCACGCCCAGCTAGTTTTTTTGTATTTTTAGTAGAGACGGGGTTTCACCATGTTGACCAGGATGGTCTCGATCTCTCGACCTCGTGATCCACCCGCCTCGGCCTCCCAAAGTGCTGGGATTACAGGCTTGAGCCACCGCGCCCAGCCGAGGAAGAAATGATAATATCATTATTACAAAAACAACTTCAGAAAACAGATGATGACAGAGTAATTCACAAATCTTTGGGAGTAACAGTATCCTATCAAAACAAGGATGTACTCTCACCAATTCTAAGGAAAACGGAACAAGATGTCCTACTCAGTACAATGAGAAAAAGGAACAAAGTCCGTATGAATTGGAAAAGTAAAATTCTTTATTCACAGATGATTATCTACATTGAAAATGCTAAATAATCTAGAAAAAAGCTACTGGAACTAATAAGTTAACTGATCTAGGTTGCCTGATACAAGGTCAATGTACAAAAGTCAAATGCATTTCTACAAACTAGCAATAACTAGAAAATAGCTTTTTAAAAACCTTACCACTTGCAAGAGCATGCAGAAATATTAAATACATGAATTTAACAAAATGTGTGAGACCCGCAAATTGAGAGAAATTAAGAGATCTAAATAAATGGGGCAGTATACCATGTTCAACAATTGGAAAGCTCAGAATTGTTAAAATGTAATTTCTCCCTAAATTGATCTATAAACCCCAGGAGGTTTTCTTTTTGTAGAAATTAATACAGTTGTTTTCTGTCGTTAAGACAGAGTTCTGCTCTTGGTTGCCCAAGCTGGAGTGCAATGGCGTGATCTCCCCTCACTGAAACCTCCCCCTTCTGGGTTCAAGTGATTCTCCTACCTCAGCCTCCTGAGTAGCTGGGATTCTACAGGTGCCCACCAACACACCCAGCTGATTTTTTTTTTTGTATTTTTAGTAGAGATGGGATTTCACCATGTTGGCCAGGCTGGTTTCGAACTCCTGACCTCAAGTGATGCGCCTACCTCAGCCTCAAAGCGCTAGGATTACATAGGTGTGAGCCATGCGTCCAGCCTGAAGTTGATAAAAGTTGACTCTAAATTTTATATGAAAATGCAAAGGATCTAGAAGTAAAAAAAAAAAAAAAAAACAAAGAAAAAAACAAAACGGAAGCTCTTCCAATACCTGAGTATGATACTTATTGTAAAACTACAGATGGCCAGGAGTGGTGGCTCACACCTGTAATCCCTTTGGGAGGCTGAGGCAGGAGTTCAACACCACACTGTTCTACATAGTGAGACCCTATCTCTACAAAAAAATGTAAAAATTAGCAAGACCTGGTGGTGCATGCCTACAGTCCCAGCTACTTGGCAGGCTAAGGCAAGAGGCTCACTTGAGCCCAGATGTTCGAGGTTACATTGAGCTATGATTGTGCCACTACACTCCAGCCTGGGCAACAGAATGGAACTCTGCCTCAAATAAAACTACAGTAATCAATAGTGTCACATTGGTGTAAAGCTATACACACAAGATAAGGATGGTGTGCAGAACAGACCACGCCTATGTCACTTAAGTTGGGAAAGTGGAGTCTTTCAACAAATAGAACTGAAACAAGCAACTATCCACACAGATAAAAAATCTTGATCCTTATTGCATATGGTACACAAAAATAAACTCAAAATGGATCACAGATTAAAATGTAAAACTATAAAAGTTCCATAAAATAAAAAAAAATAGGAAAAAAATTGTGTCCATTGAGTAGGCAAATTTCTTAAACTCAAATGATAAAATCTCATAAATCATCATATTATTATATCTCCCTCACGGCAACCTCTGCCTCCTGGGTTCAAGTGGTTCTCCTGCCTCAGCTTCTCAAGTAGCTGGGACTCCAGGGGCACAACAATGCACCCAGGTAGTTTTTGTATTTTTAGTAGAGACAGGGTTTAACCATGTTGGCCAGGCTGGTCTTGAACTTCTGGCCTCAGGTGATCTGCCTACCTCTTGGCGTCTCAAAGTGCTGGGATTACAGGAATGAGCCACTGCACCCAAATCTTTAATAAATTTGACTTAATAAAAAATATTTGAAAGACACCATTAAGAAAATGAAGAGGCAAACCAAACATGAAAGGAAAATATTTATATTTGTCACAGAGACAAAGAATTATATATATTATGTATGTAATAAATGTTTTTCATCTAGAATATGGAAAGAGCTTGAGTCAGCAATAAGAAACCCAACTTAAAAACAGGCAAAAGACACGAACAGTCACATCACAAAAGATGACACAGAACAGCCATGAGCAGATGAAATCATAGGCACACATTATTCGGTGCACAAATACAAATTAAAATCATAAGACTAGAGTGGATTAAATTTTAAGAGACTGAAATACCAAGTGTTAGCAAAGATAAGGAGCAACTGGACTCTTCCCATACTGTGGTAGGAATGTAAAACAATTCAACCACTATGGAGGGCTGTGCAACAATTATTATTTTTTTTTTTTAAGATACAGTCTTGCTCTGTTATCCAGGCCGGGGTGCAGTGGTGTGATCTCAGCTCACTCCAACAACTGTTCCCGGGTTCAAGCAATTCTCCTGCCTCAGCCTCGCAAGTAGCTGAGATGATAGGCTCGCACCAGCACACCTGGCTAATTTTTTTATTTTTGATAGAGATGGGGTTTCGGCCATGTTGGGCAGGCTGGTTTTGAACTCCTGACCTCAGCTGTCCACCCGCCGTGGCCTCCCAAAGTGCTGGGATTATAGGCGTGAGCCACCGTGCCCGGATGACGATTTCTTAGAAAGTCAACAACACTTATTTCAATGGACTGAATGCTTGCATCCTTGCACAATTCATGTCAAATTCCTAATCCACAAGGTAACATGACGTGGGGTCTTGGGGAGGTAACAGAATCACAAGGGGAGAGCCCTCACAACTGGGCTAAGTTTGCTAGTCCATTTCCACCACATGCAGTTACAGTGAGAAGACATCTACTTACAAAGGAAGCAGGCCCTCACTAGACACCAAATGCTGACACCCTCATCGTGGACTTCCCAGCCTCCAGAACTGTAAGACATAAATTTCTGTTGTTTATAAGCCTCCCTGTTGATGGTATTTTGTTATGGCAGCCTGAACTGGTATTTTGTTATGACAGTTTTTAATTGTTTTACAATTAAAGTCCAGGTACTTACCCAAGAGAAGTAAAAACACATGTGCAAAAACATGCTTTTACACAAATGTTCATAGTGTGAAGAGCCGAGACTGGAAACCCAAGGACACATGGACGTATAAACAAATGATGGCTCGTCTATACAATGGACCACTATCCAGTGAGAACTACTGAAACACGAAGCAGCTGCTTGAGTCTAAAAGCATGCTGAAGTGAAAGACATCAGACGCCAAATAACACATACTAAATAAATCCACTTGTATGAGGTTCCAAACCAAGCAAAACTAATCTACAGGGATACAAAGTAGTCACCTGCAGCTGGAGTCCGCTTAACTCGGAAGGGGTGAAAGGGAACTTTTTTGGGTGATAGAAATGTTGTTCTTGGTTCTGGTAGTGATGGTTAAACAGGTATATCGATTTTTCAAAACTCTGTACACTTAAAATAGGTGTTTTATTATATGAAAATTGAATCTCAGTAAAGCTGATTAAAACGGTGTGGTAAAATCTATAGCATTTAAAACATCTCTAGTAATGCCGATTTTCCAGAAAATGTAGATGTCTTTTTAATTATTTGTCCTCTCAAGGGTTTTAGGGTTGGTAGTATTTGTTAAGAATTCAAACTATGGCCTCTTGAGAAAAAAAATTACAAAACAGGACTTTTGGGGTTCATGTTTAGATGAAATTCAGAGGCAAAGACCAAGAGTTTTGCCAGGTGGTGGTCCACTGTGTATTTAACATGCCTGCTTTTGCACAGCCCTAGCAAAACGGCTGTCACGACTCCAGGTTTCTTCAGGATCCCATTTCCTTCTTTAGCTGATCTCTGCTGACCTCTCTGGCTCAGCTGAAACGTCACCTCTTCTGCAAAGCCTTCCCAGCTCCATGCCACATCAGACACCCCCTCATCTGCACTTCTTCACAGCCGAGAGCACACACCTGACTCACTGCACCGTGATCTGTCTTCCCCACCACCCTGTGGGCGACTTCGGGGTGGTGTGTTGCTCATCTGTTCTCCCAACATTTAGGACTATTCCTTATAGATATCAATACATTTTCAAGTAAATGACAAAATGAACCACAGAGCATGGAAAATGACAGCTCAGTTCAACCTCAGAACTGCTAAAACAGAAGAGTTACATAGTGCACTGAGACTGTCCCCTTCGAGTGAGACAGATACAGACCAGTGAGTGAAGACCTTCTCGAGACCTGCCTCCTCCTGTCCGCACTGTTCCAGCTGAGTCAGGTGTCAGTGCCCTCCAGATCAAGCGGACAGTTCTGCGTGAGCTGTAAGGCGGCACAAAGGTGGGCGTGGATGTGCACAGGCTACTGCCTGCAACTACTGAGTTAAACAGGAGAAGCAGACAGTAGCAGGGCTGAGAAGATCCTTCTGACAGAATCGTAGATTATACTGATACAAAATGAACAAACAACAAAAAACAGCCAACAGCTGAACATTTTTAGAATGGCAGTATAGAAAGAACAAAGTAAGGATGCCAATTACACATAGATTTGGGGGTGCATTTTTTATTGCCTTGTGCTAGACAGTGGACACATGGAAATCAATCAGATATGATCACCGTCCTCAGGAACTGACAGTATAATGAAAGAGCCTATCAAGTCATTCTGGCATACGCAAGTAAGTACAGTAATAGCGGTAATTACTGAGCCACAGAAGCACGGAGAGCGCTGCCAGCTAAGCCTGAGGGAAACAGTCCCTGACATGATGTCTGAGGCACGTCCTCAACCATGATTCGGAGTTCATTAGCTGAGAAGAGGAGACCCTTCAATAAGAACCAGGGTGAGAGTGGCAGGAAGCTGCGTGGAGCACGGGGAAGATGAAGCAGTCAGTGCTGCTGCAGTATCACCTGTGTGACAGGGAGTTCGGCAGAGGGAGGCGAGGTCTGAGGAAACAGGAAGCCTTAGGGCACACGTCAGGGCACAGGATGGGAGGCCTGGAGTTCCTCCTAAGGACAACAGGGAAATGGCTTGGGGGTTATCTTTCTTCAACTTGATTTAATAGATCAGAATGTGCTAAGTAACGTTCTCCTAAGTAATAAGATCAGATACACAGTCCTGCTCTAAAAGGGATTTAACTCAAGGATGGACTGTAACTGTGGATAACGTTTTTTAAAAGACCTTTTCTTGAGACCTGTCTCCTCCCTGCCTCCAATGTTCCAGCTCAGAGTCAAGCCCTGTGACTCTCCCGAGGACAGCACTCACAGCTGAGGAGGAGGGCTGGGCCTGCTAGTGCCACACAGTGGCAGGTGGCACCCACTCCAAAAACAGTCCCATCCATGACTCACAAAATTCTGACATGTCCAAATCTTAGACGCCACATGAATCCTAATTCCACGCATTTCCAAACATCACTCATTGGGCAGAAGAATTATTATTTATAAGTTACCTGTGTGTTCCCCCTGATCTACAGACCTCTCACCCAAACGTATGGAGGCCTTACTCAAGGAAAGTCCCTCTTGGTGAACACTTTGATTATTTTTAAAGTTTGTGGCTGAGTTAAAATCTCTCCCATACTGACTACACTCATAAAGCTTCTCTTCAGTATGAATTTTCTGGTGTTGAAGGAAGTTTGACCTCTGAATGAAGCCTTTCCCACAATAACTACACACATAGGGCTTTTCTCCAGTGTGAATAATCTGGTGCAGAAGCAGCTTTGAGCTCTGGATGAAGGCTTTCCCACAGTCTTTACATTCGAAGGGCCTGTCCCCAGAGTGGATCTTCTGGTGCTCAGTGAGATGGGCCTTCTGGAGAAATGCCTTCCCGCATTCCTTACATTCATACACCCTCTCTCCAGTGTGGATTTTCTGGTGTCGAATAAGGTATGAACTCAGAAAGAAAGCTTTCCCACACTCGTTACATTCATAGAGTTTCTCTCCAGTGTGAATTCTCTGATGCTGGGTGAAGTTTGACGTCTGGCTGAAGCGCTTCCCACACTGATTGCATACGTAAGGCCTCTCCCCAGTATGGATCCGCTGATGCTGAATGAGCTTTGAACTCCGAATAAAAGCCTTCCCACACTCATTGCATTCAAAGGGTCTCTCTCCGGTGTGAATTCGCTGGTGCTCAATCAGGTCCGAGCGATGACGGAACGCCTTCCCACATTCTTTGCATTCATACTGTTTCACTTCTGTGTGGATCTGATAATGGCGAATGAGGCTCGAGCTCCTTATGAAGGATTTCCCACATTCATTGCACTCATAGGGCCTTTCTCCTGTATGAATCCTCTGATGACGAATAAGTAAGGAGCTTTGACTGAAGCCTTTTCCACACTCTTTGCATTCAAAAGGTCTCTCTCTGGTGTGAACTCTCTGGTGCCTAATCAGGTCTGAACTGTGACAAAACGCCTTCCCACACTGCGCACATTTGAAGGGCTTTTCTCCCGAATGAACGCGCTGATGCTCAATGAGACCTGCATAGCGAATAAAGTCTTTCCCACACACATTACAGACATAGAGTCTCTCACCAGTGTGAATACTCTGATGCTCCATGAGGTGTGAGCTCTGGCCAAAGCCTTTCCCACACTGATCACACGTGTAAGGTTTCTCCCCAGCATGCAAAGTCCGATGCCTAACTAGGTCCGAATTAAACGTGAAGGTTTTGCCACAGATATCGCAAGGATTGGCTTCCCCCTCTATGAGCTCTCTTTGAAGTATAAGAAAGTCTGAGTTCAGAACAGGGTGTCTGCCTGACTTGGTGCACAACTGAGCTGTCTCCCGTGTCTGGATTTTCCAATGGGTCACAGTCACCTGCTTGCAGCCCCTGTCCTGAGAGGGGGAACTCCTGAGGCTCTCACCTTCTGGATTTCCCAAGAGCTCCTCTAATCTGGGCTCACAGACTTCCCCAGACTCGGGGGAGGGGAGCTCCACCGCTGTGACTTTGTCTGACATTGTCCTATGTGAGTTTTCATCCTCAGATATCCAGGCTTCAGTCACCTTCTTCTCACCAGTTCCTACATTAGAATCTGAAACAAAAGACAACAAAATCATCTCTCCCCTTACTTCATGGACGGGGATCTCCTCAGTGAGGGCAGGATGAAATTCATCTCCAAGAGGTGGAAAGTGTTTCCTCTGCCCCTCACTCCTGACCCAACGTGCTGCTACCCACAGCTCTGGTCTCACACCCAGGCCTTTCCCACGCGAGATGGCTACTTTGTGGCTCCTCTTTCAACATCCGACACCAGGACAGATTGGCCTGTGCTGCACAACACTCCTCTGACCCTTAGTGAATCCTGGATGAGCTGCAGAGGGGTGGGGACATGCTTGGACTCCATTAAAAAACCAAGACAGATTATTTTAAACAAATGTATGAACGCAGCACCTCTTCACTGTCCCTCATTCCCTCCTTCATGGCCTCTTCTCCCCTCTGTAACTAGCTTAGACTCCATAGTCTGGCACAGTGTTCACTGTAAGTTACATGAGAATCACCCTCCTGCATAGAATCCAGGCCCCCTGCCCTTTCCTGCCTCCATCAGACTTGGATGGGAAAACCCCAAGCTTTGGTCTGATTCATGCCCATACTCTTGCTGACTGAGTTCTTTAAATTCAGAGCTGCTTGCCTAATGGGGCCTGGGAGCTGCCAGTAACTCCTACCCTTCCGACTCCCTGACAGGACCACCCGCTTCTCCTGTCTTCTTACAGACCTAGCACTCCCTCCTCCCTCCCCACTGGTGACTCTGCTTCTTGCTTCAACGAGAAAACAGAAGAAATGAAGCAAGGACAGCCACTGCCTGCCACATCTCCTGCCAGCCAGTATCTCCACCCATCCTCTGCCAGGCTTGTTACCTGGGTTAAACTGTCCTTGATTTGACCTCAGGTCAACACTTCCACTTGTGTGTGAACTCCCTTTCCCTCACACATGCAGGGACAGCACTTGAGTGCCCACGCCTCTCCCCCATCCTGAAGTCCCCGCCCTCCAAGCCCACCACTCTCCTCATCATAAAGAAACTCACCAGTTCCCAGCTACCCGAAAAATGCATTTCATAGGCCCCATGTCCCACTAATTACTACCCCATGACTCTCCTCCTCCACAGCCACATTCGAAGAGCCCTCACCCCATGCTCCATTTCTCCATTTCCTCCTTGAGTCCACTGCAGTGGGGCTGTCACTCCAAACATGCACCGCATCACCAGATCAGGGTCAGCTGTGACCACACTTGCAACTCAACCTGCAGTGTCGCTGACACACAGCCCCAATCCTTCAAAAGTCACTCTCTTATGTGAATCTGGGACAGCTTCTCTGTTCCCTAACTGCCTCACTGACAGCTTTGACGCCTCGAAGTCCTGGCGTGTCTAGGGCTCAGCCCTCATCTATGTCTATTACAGAGGGGAGTGCACTCATTACTGAACACCAATGCCATCTGTGCTGAAGACTCACGTGCCTGCCTCCAACCTGCCTTCTTCCAGCCCCCACACCTGACCAGCTCCTCGGCTGACACCTTCATTCAGGTGCTCTCAGAAGGTTTTCAACCCTAATGCATCCAGCCTCACTTCTGATTTTCCTCCTTCTGTAGTTCTCTCCGTTATGTCATTTGTTCAGTCCACAAATGCTACAATAACCTTTGACTCCTTTCCCTTTGTCCACGCTCCACGTCTGTTCAAAACCATGCCCAGCGCCAGATCCCCCAACCTACAGGGCTGCCATCTGCACTGCCTTACACCACAAAGCGCGGCTGCCTCCCTCCCACCTCCTTACTTCTCCCCTTCTCCAGCTTCTTTTTTTTTTTTTTTTTTTTTTTTTTGAGATGGGAGTCTTGCTCTGTTGCCCAGGCTGGAGTGCAGTGGCACAATCTCGGCTCACCACAATCTCTGCCTCCTGGGTTCAAGTGATTGTCCTGCCTCAGTCTCCCGAGTTGCTGGGACTACAGGCGTGTGCCACCATGCCTGGCTAATTTTTAGATGTTTAGTAGAGATAGGGTTTCACGATGTTGGCCAGGCTGGTCTCGAACTCCTGACCTTGTGATCCACCCGCCTTGGCGTCCCAAAGTGCTGGGATTACAGGTGTGACCCACCAAGCCTGGCCAGAGTCTCCGGCTCTTTTGTATACAATCAGCAGAATTACACTTTAAAATCATATATCAAATGTCACTTTTCTGCTCAAAACTTACAAGGGTCTCCCATCCCCTACTTAGGCCCCACAAGGGCCCCTGGGTCTGGACTCCTACTGCCTCACCCTGCCCTCCCCTTCCCCCTTCTTTGTCACACTGGCCTCTGCAATCCCTGCCCACTCAGAAAGACTTCAAAGATATTTGCATGCTTCACCCCCAGATGTCCTTCAGGTATCTGGGTTGACATCACCTGACCGGAGTCCTTCCTAGTCACACTATGAAAACAGCAAGCCACCCCCATCCTTAGCATCCCTCTCTCCTATCTCTGCTTCCTCTGCACAGTTCTGACCACTTGACCAATCATAAGTCACCCAGTCAAAGCAGCCATCGCTTGTGGCTATACACCAGGCGTCCCCAAACTTTTTACACAGGGGGCCAGTTCACTGTCCCTCAGACCGTTGGAGGGCTGCCACATACTGTGCTCCTCTCACGGACCACCAATGAAAGAGGTGCCCCTTCCTGAAGTGCGGGGGGGGGGGGGTGCGGATAAATGGCCTCAGGGGGCCGCATGCAGTCCGCGGGCTGTAGTTTGGGGATGCCTGCTATACACTATTATATGTACCATGAAGGAAAATAGAAGTACCAATTTATTTTTATTTTTAATTTAACTTTTTTTAAAGACGGGGTTTCACCATGTTAGGCTGGTCTTGAACTCCCCACCTCAAGTGATCCACCCACCCTGGCCTCCAAAATGCCTGGATTACAGGTGTGAGCCACCAAGCCCAGCCAAAGGTACCAATTTAAATGAAAACATTCCATCAAGTCAGGTGCAGTGGCTCACTCCTGTAATCCCAAGACTCTGGGAGGGAGAGGTAGGAGGATCACTTGATACCAGGAGTTTAAGATCTGCCTGGGCAAGATAGAGAGATCCCATCTCTACAAAAAAATTTTTAAAAATAGTCAGGCGAGGTAGCACACCTGTGGTCCCAGCTACAAGGAAGACTAAGGCAGGAGGATCACTTGAGCCCATTGAGACTGAGTGAGCCATGCTTGTGCCACTGCATTCCAGCCTCAGTGACAGAGTAAGACCCTTTCTCAAACAACAACAAAAGACACTTCATCAATTCTAACAGGCAACTCAATTTCAGAGATATTAAAATACGGAGATGGTGTGTCTTAGAATCAATGAATTGTGATATATACATGCACGCATGTATATATGACAAATGTGAGTGAGTATGGGCAGGGATTTTGTTCTTTTTCCTCAGCAACCCAAACAATTCTTGGCATAAAGCAATACATTTCATAAGTATCTGTTCCATGAATGAATGTTCTAATCATGCAAACATAATATACTCAACACATGGTAATAAACCAGGTACAGTGGCTCATGCCTGTAACCTCAGCGTTTCCAGTGGCCAAAGCGGGAGGACTGCTTGAAGCCAGGAGTTCAAGACCAGCCTGGGCAACATAGCAAGACCCCATTTCTAAAAAAATTTTTTTTAACTAGCTGGGTGTGATGCTGCATAGCTGTGGCCCCAGCTACTTGGGAGGCTAAGTCAGGAGGATGGCTTGAGCCCAGAAATTTGAGGCTGTAGAGAGCCATAATTGTGTCAAGGAACTTCAGCCTAGGTGACAGAGTAAGACTCTGCTTCTAATTAAAAAAAATTTTTAAAGCTCCAACACTTCTATTATTAAACACTGAAATAAAAGTGTTATACACACCTTTAAGAAAGAAATTAGCAGTGCTTACTATAGCTCTTTTAGAATGTCTAGCAGGTTTCTCAGTTTTTACTGGAAAATCTCCCATAAAAAAAAAAATTAAAGAGAAACAAGACAATTATTTACCCACTTATTTTAATGCAGGGTCCTGGGTGGCTGGAGCCTATCCCGGCAGCTCAGGGTGCAAGGCAAGAACCAGACCAGGTAGGGCAGGGTTCCACGGAAGGACGACTCACACACCCAGACTCACGCATTCTGGGACCAAGGAGACACCCCAATTCACCTAACATACACATCTTTGGAACGTGGAAGGCAAGTCAGGCAGATGTGGGGAGAATGGGCATACTCCACATGGTGTTCCCAGCAGGGAATCACTTTTTCCCTCGTCGATGTTATAATCAAACGATGCTGTCTGAGGCCTTGCTATGTCAGAAAGGGAAGCAGCAGCCAGAATCCACTTTCTGAAAGCTGAAAACAGAGACCAAAGGAATGGTGGCTGCTGTGAGGGAAAGTCTTTCCTGGCGCCTGCATTTTACCAGCCTGAAGTCTCAGGATTTGTATTTTCTTTCTTTTTTTTTTTTTAAAGACAGGGTCTTGTTCTGCTGCACAGGCTGATTGCAAAGTGGTGCGATCTCAGCTCACTGCAACCTCTGTCTCTCAGGTTCAAGCAATTCTTGTGTATTTTTAGTACAGATGAGGTTTCTCCATGTTGGCCCGGTTGGTCTCTAACTGCTGGTCTCAAGCGGTCCACCCACCTTGGCCTCCCAAAGTGCTGCAGTTACAGGGGTAAGCTACTACACCCAGCCTTATATTTCCTTTTTAATTTCCATCCATATTCTGCTTATGCACTGAGGACCCATTAACGCTGCTCTCAGGAGAAAGCTGACTCCCTTGCCCTAAGAGCCTTCTCTGTGGGGTTCTTGCTGGGCAGTGGGAGCCAAGCCACTGCGAAGATCAGTAATGCTCCCTTCCCATCCATTACTACTGCCTCTGATACTTCAAGGCTGCTGCCAATACAATGAGAGAGGGGAGGAGCTCAGCCCAGAAGCCAGTAAATAAAACTAGAGGTTCTTCTGTTGGTTTAAAACCAGAGCTGAGCCAGGTGCAGCGGCTTAGACCTGTAATCCCAGCACTCTGGGAGGCTGAGGTGGGCGGATCACTTGAGGTCAGGAGTTCGAGACCAGCCTGGCCAACATG